CCTTTTATACATCTTCAAATGCAGGCAAACAAAGAAACATGTTCCTACATACGTTAACATGATCACTATGTCACTTTAGGATCATAGAAATGTCAAATTATATCTCACAACCTCACAACTTCTGAGGATGCTTGCCATAGATGCAGGCGAAATGTCAGGAGAGAATGCCTCTAGAACAGCGTTTCTCAACCTGGGGGTCGGGACCCCTGGGGGAGGGGTTGCAAGGGGGTGTCAGACCCCCTTGCAAAGACCATCAGAAAACAGTATTTTCTGTTGCTCATGGGCGTTCTGTGGGGGAAGTTTGGCCCAATTCTATCATTGGTAGAGTTCAGAATGCTCTTTGATTATAGGTGAACTATAAATCCCAGCAACTACAACCCCCAAATGTCACAGAATCATAGAATCATAGAGTTGGAAGAGACCTCATGGGCCATCCAGTCCAACCCCCTGCCAAGAAGCAGGAATATTGCATTCAAAGCACCCCTGGCAGATGGCCATCTAGTCTCTGTTTAAAAACCTTCAAAGAAGGAGCCCCCACCACACTCTGGGGCAGAGAGTTCCATTGCTGAATGGCTCTCACAGTCAGGAAGTTCTTCCTCATGTTCAGATGGAATCTCCTTTCTTGTAGTTTGAAGCCATTGTTTCGCGTCCTAGTCTCCAGGGAAGCAGAAAACAAGCTTGCTCCCTCCTCCTTGTGACTTCCTCTCACATATTTATACATGGCTATCATATCTCCTCTCAACCTTCTCTTCTTCAGGCTAAACATGCCCAGCTCCTTAAGCCGCTCCTCATAGGGTTTGTTCTCCAGACCCTTAATCATTTTAGTCGCCCTCCTCTGGACACATTCTATTTAGTCAATATCTCTCTTCAATTGTGGTGCCCAGAATTGGACACAATATTCCAGGTGTGGTCTAACCAAGGCAGAATAGAGGGGTAGCATTACTTCCCTGGATCTAGACACTATGGTGCCCAAGATCTAGTTCCCCCAAACTCCAAAAGTGTTCACATTTGGGCCTATTGAGTATTCGTACCAAGATTGGTCTGGATCCATCATTGTTTGAGTCCACAGTGCTCTCTGGATATAGGTGGACTACAACTCCAAAACTCAAGGTCAATGCCCACCAAACCTTTCCAGTATTTTCTGTTGGTCATAGGAGTTCTGTATGCCAAGTTTGGTTCCTATTTCATCATTGGTGGAGTTAAGAATGCTCTTTGATTGTAGGTGAACTATAAATCCCAGTAATTACAACTCCCAAATGACAAAATCAGCCCCACCAGTATTCAAATTTGGGCATATCGGGTATTTGTGCCATACCTGGTGCCGTGAATGAAAATACATCCTGCATATCAGTTAGCAAAATTACAGTTATGGGGTAGCAACGAAAATAATGTTATGGTTGGGGGTCACCACAACATGAGGAACTGTATTAAGGGGTCACGGCATTAGGAAGGTTGAGAACCACTGCTCTAGAACATGGCCATATAGCCCCCATAAACCTACAACAACCCATCAAATTATATCTCTCTACATGCAGGAGGCAAGCCTCAGCATTCTGCTTACAGCTAGTTAGAGATACAAGGATTCAGCTTATACACATTCATCAAGGGGCCTATTTTGACCTGTCAGGAGGGAGAGAGAGAGCACCACTTCTTACTTTTTATCTCTATCTCTCCGTGCCAGACTGTTCTTATCTCTCCCCTGGAATTTCACCCCCCTCTTGCCTACTGCCTTGGACACAGGTCCTTCAGCATTGTTTTTGTTCTGTCAGCTTGGCTTCCTAACATAGAGAGAACCTGAATTTTTTACATTTCAGTGATTCTAATGTACATAGGTAAAGGTAAAGGTTTTCCCCTGACATTAAGTCCAATCGTGTCCGACTCTGGGGGTTGGTGCTCATCTCCATTTCTAAGCCGAAGAGCCAGCGTTGTCCGCAGACACCTCCAAGGTCATGTGGCCAGCATGATTGTGTGGAGAGCCGTTACCTTCCCGACGGAGCGGTACCTATCGATCTACTCACATTTGCATGTTTTTGAACTGCTAGGTTGACAGAAGCTGGGGCTGACAGTGGTGCTCACGCCACTCTCCAGATTCAAACCTGCGACCTTTCAGTCAACAAGTTTAGCAACTCAGCGGTTTAACCCACTGCGCCACTGGAGGCTCCTATGATTATTTATATACATTCATAAGTATATTAACATAAAAATATATTAATGTAAATTAAAATATTAATGTTTGTTTAATTTTTAAATTAAAAATAAAGTAAGGCCTCATAGCCTTTTAAGTCGCTTTGTTGCTTCTGGCGATGCTGTGCCATTCTCAGATTTGTTGCTGCAATGTTTTTGATGGTACTGAAGTGTGGTTGTAAGTCTTGTACATAACTTACAATGTCCCGTTCCTTGATGGTCTCTTGTCTACTAATAGAAATATTAAAATATATAATTAAAATAGGAAATAGGAAATTAAATATACAGATTGAAAATAGATACAAAAATACAAATAGAAATAATAAAAATATAAAATTAAAATATGAAAAAGGAAACTAAAATACAGATTGAAAATAGATAAAAAATAGTAATAGAAATATTAAAAATATATAATTAAAAATGAAATGGGAAATTAAAAATACTGATATTTATATTTGTCGTGTCAGAGCAACCAGTCCATTATATTACATTTCTAACAGAACAAAGCAAACAAACAGAAAAATACGCAACTTGTGAGTTTGGTAGTTATTTATTTATTTATCGTATCATCAGCAACCATTGTATTACAATTCTAACAGAGCAAAACAAACACACAGATTAAAAAGAAAAAGAGAAAAAAAAAACACAGATTTTGCAAATTTGGTATTTGGTTAAATGTCCTTTGACCAGTATCTGGCCACTTGGAGTGCCTCTGGTGTTGCCGCAAGAAGGTCCTCCATGGTGCATGTGGCAGGGCTCAGGGTGCATTGCAGCAGGTGGTCAGTGGTTTGTTCTTCTCCGCACTCGCATGCCGAGGATTCCACCCTGTAGCCCCATTTCTTAAGATTGGCTCTGCATCTTGTGGTGCCAGAGCGCAGTCTGTTCAGCGCCTTCCAAGTCGCCCAGTCTTCTGAGTGCCCAGGGGGGAGTCTCTCATCTGGTATCACCCATGAATTGAGGTGCTGGGTTTGGGCCTGCCACTTTTGGACTCTCGCTTGCTGGGGTGTTCCAGCGAGTGTTTCTGTAGATCTAAGAAAACTATGTCTTGATTTAAGTCGTTGACGTGCTGGCTGATACCCAAACAGGGGATGAGCTGGAGATGTCTCTGCCTTGGTCCTTTCACTATTGGCTGCTACTTCCCGGCGGATGTCAGGTGGTGCAATACCGGCTAAGCAGTGTAATTTCTCCAGTGGTGTAGGGCGCAGACACCCTGTGATAATGCGGCATGTCTCATTAAGAGCCACATCTTCTGTTTTAGTGTGGTGAGATGTGTTCCACACTGGGCATGCATACTCAGCAGCAGAGTAGCATAGCGCAAGGGCAGATGTCTTCACTGTGTCTGGTTGTGATCCCCAGGTTGTGCCAGTCAGCTTTCGTATGATGTTTTTTCTAGCGCCCACTTTTTGTTTGATGTTCAGGCAGTGCTTCTTGTAGGTCAGAGCACGGTCCAAAGTGACTCCCAGGTATTTGGGTGTGCTGCAATGCTCCAGTGGGATTCCTTCCCAGGTAATCCTCAGAGCTCGGAATGCTTGTCTGTTCTTAAGGTGAAAGGCACATGTCTGTGTTTTAGATGGGTTGATTTTCTTTTGTTTTTCCACCCCCCCCCCCCCCTCCCCCCTTGCGACAGGCGCCCCCTGGGCAACGTCTTCGTAGACGGCCGATTCTCTCAACCCAGAAGCAACCAGAGACAACTTGAAGCATGCAAACAAGGAAGTTTGGTAATTGATTAAATGTCTTTTGACCAATAGCTGGCCACTTGGAGTGCTTCTGATTTTGCTGCAAGAAGGTCCTCCATTGTGCATGTGGCAGGGCTCAGGTTGCATTGCAGCAGGTGGTCAGTGGTTTGCTCTTCTCCACACTCACATGTTGTGGATTCCACTTTGTGGCCCCATTTCTTGAGGTTGGCTCTGCATCTCGTGGTGCCAGAGCGCAGTCTGTTCAGCGCCTTCCAAGTCGCCCAGTCTTCTGTGTGCCCAGGGGGGAGTCTCTCATTTGGTATCAGCCATTGATTGAGGTTCTGGGTTTGAGCCTGCCACTTTTGGACTCTCGCTTGCTGAGGTGTTCCAGCGAGTGTCTCTGTAGATCTTAGAAAACTATTTCTTGATTTAAGTTGTTGACGTGCTGGCTGATACCCAAACAGGGGATGAGCTGGAGATGTCACTGCCTTGGCTGTTACTTCCCAGCGGATGTCAGGTGGTGCAATACCGGCTAAGCAGTGTAATTTCTCCAGTGGTGTAGGGCGCAGACACCCCGTGATAATGTGGCATGTCTCATTAAGAGCCACATCCACTGTTTTAGTGTGGTGAGATGTGTTCCACACTGGGCATGCATACTCAGCAGCAGAGTAGCACAGCGCAAGGGCAGATGTCTTCACTGTGTCTGGTTGTGATCCCCAGGTTGTGCCAGTCAGCTTTCATATGATGTTGTTTCTAGCGCCCACTTTTTGCTTGATGTTCAGGCAGTGCTTCTGTGACTCCCAGGTATTTGGGTGCACGGCAATGCTCCAGTGGGATTCAATCAAAATACAGATTGAAAATAGATACAAAAATACTAATAAGAGATTTCACTCCTATTTGGCTTGAGGAGGAGGAGGAGGGAGGGGGGGGAGGGAAAAAGGAGCTCGGCACTCCTGATTGGTCAAAGAGGCGGGCCAATAGCGTCACGAGCCAGGGAAGGAAGGCGGGGCCTCAACTCTGGAGTGACAGGGATCTTGTCCAATCTCAGCGCCTCTAATCTCTAAACTCCTTCTGAGAGGTGTTTGGGATTCCTCCTGACCGCTTTCCCTCTCGCCCCCCCTGGAGCGTTGTGCGCGTGCGCAGTCGCTCCTTTCGGTTTCTGCCTCATTTCCGCCCCGCCCCCTTCCCCTTTGTCTTGGGGGTCGGCAACGGTTTTCGAACGTTGGGAGCGCGAACGTTCGAAACTCCCCCGCCCCCCGCGGAGCTCGGTTGCGCCTGCGCAGAAGGGCGCTTGGTGAGTGGAGAGAGAGATGAGGGAGAGGAAGGAAGGCAGGCATGCTGGGGGCAGGATTTTGGGAGTTGCAGTTTGAGGGAGTCACTTGGCCCAAGTGTGGCCCGTTCAAAACAACTTTTATCAGTAGGGCTATAATAATAAAGAATGTCAATTATTGATTATTAGTAGTATTGGCCTGCATTTCTCTATGGACAGTTCTGTCGATAAATATCAATTATTAATTTATTATTATTATTGCTATTTATTATTACTAATTATTATTACTATTACTATTTATTATTATTACTATTTATTATTATTACTATTACTATTTATTATTAGTAGTACTATTTATAATAAATAGTAATAGTACTAATAATAAATAGTACTAATAATAAATAGTAATAGTACTAATAATTAGTAATAGTAATAATAAATAGTAATAGTACTAACAATAAATAGTAATAATAATAAAAAGTAATAATAATAATAAATAGTACTAGTAATAATAATAAATAGTAATAATAATAAATAGTAATAGTACTAATAATAATAAATAATAATACATAGTAATAGTACTAACAATAAATAGTAATAATAATAATAATAATAATAATAAATTAATAATTGATATTTATGGACAGAACTGTCCATAAATATCAATTATTAATTTATTATTATTATTTATTATAATTTATTATTATTATGCAGTCATGCCGGCCACATGACCTTGGAGGTGTCTACGGACAACGCTGGCTCTTCGGCTTAGAAATGGAGATGAGCACCACACCCCAGAGTCAGACATGACTGGACTTAATGTCAGGGGAAAACCTTTACCTTTTTTACTATTTATTATTAGTACTATTTATTATTAGTACTATTTATTATTACTATTTATTATTAGTACTATTACTATTTATTAGTATTATTACTATTTATTATTAGTACTATTACTATTTATTATTATTACTATTTATTATTAGTGCTATTACTATTTATTATTATTACTATTTATTAGTACTATTATTATTTATTATTATTATTACTATTCATTCTTATTAGTATTACTATTTATTGTTATTATTACTATTTATTATTATTACTATTTATTATTATTACTAATACCAGCAATAATAATAATAATAAACTGATATTTAGGACAGAACTCCATTTCATAGAGAAATGTGAGCCAATAATAATATTAAGTAATACTAATAATTAATCAATTTATATTTCAGGCAACTGTTCATAGAGAAATGAAGGGTAATAATAATAGTAATATTAATAAATAAGAATAGTAGTAATCATAAATATTTCAGACAACTGTTCATAGAGAAATGAAGGGTAATAATAATAGTAATATTAATACATAAGAATAGTAGTAATCATAAATAATAATATTAATTACTGTTATTATTGCCTTACATTTCTCTATGGAGAGTTCTGTCCTAAATGTCAATTATTGATTTATTATTATTATTATTTATTACTATTTATTATTATTATTATTATTATTACTATTTATTCTTATTACTAATAGCAGTAGTAGTAATAATAATAATAACCTGATATTTAGGACAGAACTCTTCATAGAGAAATGTAGGACAATAATGATATGAAGTAATACTAATAATTAATCAATAATTTATATTTAAGAAAACTGTTCATAGAGAAATGAAGGGTGATAATAATAGTAATGTTAATAAATAAGAATAATAGTAATAATAAATAATAATATTAATTACTGTTGTTATTATTGCTTTACATTTCTCTGTGGCGAGTTCGGTCCTAAATATCAATTATTAATTTATTATTATTATTACTACTATTATTATTACTTTTGCCTTGCATTTCTCTATGAACAGTTCTGTCCTAAATATCATTTATTGTTATTATTATTATTATTATTATTGCCCTGCATTTCTTTACAGACCTCTCCTAAATATCTATTATTATTATTATTATTATTATTATTATTATTATTATTATCCTGTGTTTCTCTATAGATAATTCTGTCCTACATATCAATATTATTGTTGTTATTATTATTGCCCTGCATTTCTCTATGGACAGTTTATAATAATAATAATAATAATAATAATAATAATAATAATAATAATAATATATTTAGGACAGGACAGTTCTGTCCTAAATACATCATCATCATCATCATCATCATAATCATCATCATTATTATTATTATTATAACAAGAATGGGTGAGAAAGCTTCAGTGGAGACCTCTTTTGCCCATGATGACTTTTTCAGGAGTGAATTTCCCTTACTAAGGATAGATTCCTTTCATTTGCTGTTGCCTCAGCCCTGTTCTTAACTATAGGTTGTTTGTAAACTATGTGTTTGTAACTCGGGGACTAACTGTATACAATCAATTATGTAGATTAAAAAAAACACCAACGTAGCAAAAATAAAATACTTGCACCAAACAGTAGACTGGCAGCAGTCCCAATGATGCCCGGGAAATGCTAGAAAATAAACATTTCTGAAAAGAAGTCAGTTGAGATCCCATTAAGCTGCATACTTTGGGTGTTTTCCAGGGGAGGCGATGAGCACCACTGGGGGTGAGGTGCGGAAGCCATGGCGGGCCCGGAAGACCATGACCGTGAGCAGCCGCAGCCAAATGGAGGCCCTGAAGAAAGCAAAGGGAGGAGGAGGTGGTGGTGGTGGTGGTGGAGGAGGAGGAGGAGGACCATTGGTCGCGGTGGCTCCCGAGGGCCCCGAAGCCAAGTCGTTCCTGGACGCCAAGTCTTTGCAGGGCCTCCTGTGCCACTGGTACAAAGACGAGGCCCAGCGTTCACTCTGCCCGTCCCAGGAGGTCAGACCGGAGGTCCCTCTTCCTGCCAGAGAGGCGCCAACCTTCGAGAGGGTGACAGATGTCGGCGAGGCAGCTCTGGGCGAAACTGTTAAAGGTAAGGATGCAAGTGTTTTGTTTGTTTTGACAGGAGGGAAACTGTCAGTCTATTCTGATATGAACTTGTTTCTAATTATATCATAAGGGGTTTTTTTAACTAATGTTTCACCTAATTATAATAATCATTTTTATTTATGCCCCGCTTTTATCTCAGGAACCAGACCTCAATGAGGCTTGTAACCTTAATTATTATTAGGTAGCTGTGTCGTTTTAGCATATATAATACAGTGGAACCTCTACTTACATATGTCAATGTTGTTTGACAAAAAGGTGTTGCACTTGAGCCCTGAAACACCTTTTCACCACAAACCACACTCACACCCAAGGCAGGCAACTTATGCCACACATGAATTAGAACCAAGAGCAAATTTAAAAACTTGAATATATTAATTCCAAGAACATAGAACCAAAATCTGAGAGCTGTTCACCTGAATACAATGTTACTCTCACAAAGGATTGTACCAGCAGGAACCACTTTAAAAGGCCTCATTCTCTCCCATAACATCATTTCCCATACACCTGCTTCTCACACACCTGCTTTTTTTCTTTTCCTTATCTCTAAGCCACTGGGGAAAATGAGCCTGCCCTTGTTGTATGTTCTACCTCCGAAGTTCTAAGCGCCTGGATCTGGACAAACATTAGTCTCCCACCTATGTCTCAGCCTGCACTTCTGACAGGTTCTCATGGGAACTGATATAGTTTTCTCCGGTCTCGTTGGAACTGCCAAGAAATTCCAAAACAACTCTCTCCAGGCCACTTGTATTCTCCTCTGGGCCCTCTGAGCCTATCCCAGCATCCCTTTCTTCATTTTCTGAGGCCTCAGAATCTGACCTCCTGCCCGCCCTATCTCCCCAGGGCGACTCAGGGCGGTTTCCAGAAAAAAAAGGCAACAAACATTCAGTGCCAAAGTGAGCAACAAAACAAATCAAAACAACAAATAAATAACATCAGTATAAACTTCAAAACATAAATGACAACCAAAAATAGTTAAAACACATACATCTCATCATACACATTTACATCTAAATAATAATAATAATCCTCATCATAATTATGATATCATAATAATATTTATTTTTATTTATTTATTTATTATCTGCCTCTCCTTTTGGCTCCAGGTGTTTTGGACTTCAACTCCCACAACATAGGCTCCATTTACACTGCTATAATAATAATAATAATAATCTTTATTTTTACCCCACTACGATCTCCCCAAGGGACTCGGTGCAGCTTACATGAGGCCGAGCCCATAATACAACAATACAAGCAATTACAACAACAATACAAGCAATTTAAAAACAATAAAACAATAACATAAGCATTATCAATAGGACAAAACACTTTAAAAACTATGGGTAGGCCAAATATAATTAAAATTTTAAAAAAATACTGCTGGACATGGGCGAAAAGGTGATGGGGCGTTTGTGGGAACTTACTTACAAGCAGACCTAAAACAATATAAAGTGCTTTGGAGGACAAAGTGCTATGGGATCATTATTCTGGGAAGGCACACTGGAACAACCATGTCTTCAAGCTCTTCCTAAAGATCACCCAGTTTCTGAATCCAGATTATTATTATTATTATTATTATTATTATTATTATTATTATTATTATTAGTTTAAACTATGACTTTTAAATCACATTCTAAGTTTATTATATTTTAACTTTTGTCTCAGGTATTATAACACATGGATGTTTTAATATATGCTCTTATGGTTAATTATGCTTTAATAGGTGATTTTATAGATTCATTTAACTATGGCTGTGATGCAGACTATCATATAATCCAGTTTTTGGATCTAGATTATCTGCTTTGAACTGGATTATTTGAGTCTATACTGCCATATCACCCAGTTCAAAGCAGATGATCTGGATTCAGAAACTGGATGATATGGCAGCATAGATGGGGCCTATGTTCTGCCCCACGTCGAGCCGAAAGGAGAGGCAGCTAATAAATATATTGTTGTTGTTGTTATATCATGTTTAAAAAGTTCAGAGGATGCAACTATACTGTAGAAATGATATAGTTGGACACCACTTGATGTGATATGGGAGTTGTAGTTTTCCAAGACCTGTAGCCTTCTTTGCTGAAGAATGCTGGCACCTTCTGAAACATTCGGTATCTTCAAAATGCCCAGGGACATTTATCTCAACATCAATGTGCTTCCAGCACAGTTTGTGTTGGCTTTACCCTTCTGAATCACTCTTTTGATGTCTTTGATTTCCCACCCGAGAAATTCACCAGAGGAAGAAGAGGCCACGGCTGGAAGCAGGCAAGGAGGCCTTTCCCCAACCCTTGAGACCCTCAAGCGCTGGAGCCAGAGCAGAGAGATCAGAATCAGAGGAGTCAGAGGTGGAAAAGGTAAGTGGTAAGTGGCTTCCTGCATAAAGCAGTTCACTCTGTACAAAGGGCTGCACTCTTTGATCCTGTGCCCATTGTAATTGTGATGAATGACCCCTCAGAGCTTATGCTTAGAACAACTCCGGATGAGAAATGTTTGGGAAAATGACTTTCTCAGCTATATTTACTCACCCAGCTGTCCGTACAATAAGAAGGCGCAAAGTCTTGCGGCTGAGTCCCTATTTCTTCCCCATGATGCTTCCCCCCTTGGATCATATCAGATCCTTGGGCAATCCCAGTCCCTCTAGTATAGGAGACCCCAAACTATGGCCCACGGGCCAGAACTGGCCCCAAAAGGTGGTTGATCTAGCCTCTGCTCTAAACTCTAGACTACGCTGCAACCCTATTCTTGCTTCTTCAGCCTCTCTTACCTCTCTCCAAAATGAAGGGAATCTTAGCCACCCCACTCTTGTTTTCCTTTCCTTTCTGTTCTCTATCTCCCCCCCCCCCCAGATTCCAGTGCCTAGATCTAGGGAAGTCAAGCTATCCCTCTATTCTGCCTTGGTCAGATCACATCTGGAATACTCTGTCCAATTTTGGGCACCACAATTTAAGGAGGATGTTGACAAGCTGGAATGTATCCGGAGGAGGGCGACTAAAATGATCAAGGGTCTGGAGAACAAGCCCTATGAGGAGTGGCTTAAAGAGCTGGGCATGTTTAGCCTGAAGAAGGCTGAGAGGAGACATGATGACCATCTCTATATATAAAAATATTCTTGTCGTCATGAGTGGCTTAAAAACAAAAGAACCACTGGGCCAATACCCACCAAATTTGGCAACAAAACTCCTCACCATACAAGGTGTGACCATCAATAATAAAAAACAAAAGAAAGAACTTACAAATCCTAAAAAAGGAGAAGATGCCACTGGGCATGCGTACAGGGAGGGGGAGTGCGCGCGCTCGCACACACAGGGAAGCTCCATGTGGCGGAGCCTGTGCTGGCAACGGCCTGGAGTCAGCCTCGGCTCCTCGAGGTTCTGCAGCGGGAAGGCATTCACCAGCCTGACCAAGGCAGCTGGAGGCAGAGAGGCCTCTTCTTCCTCCTTCTCCCTCCTGCCTCGGGAGTAGGGATTGGAAATCAGTATGCCGGAGGAGAAAGAAGAGGAGGAGGAGGTCCGATTTAGCAGCAGGAAGGAAGGCAAGGCCAAGGAAAGGAACTTCCATTTTAATGCTCTGCCATGCAAATTGTAGTCCACACTCTTTCCCTTTCCTCTTTCATCCCCTTCCTTCCTTCCTTCCTTCCTTCCTTCCTTCCTTCCTTCCTTCCTTCCTTCCACAGGCCCGTAGCCAGGATTTCGTTTCGGGGAGGGGGCTAAAAAATTTTCAGGGGGGGTTCGGGGGGGCTGAGTTTCGGGGGGGGCTGAGTCTGAGTGAAAGAGGGTCTACCCTAGCAAACCTTTTGTATCATTACCCCAATACCCCCATGCATAGATATATTGAGTATGGTGATCAGATCATGATATGAATAAACATAACAGTTTAAATAATGCACCAGTAAGGCCTTTTCGCGAACCACCATGAGAATTTCGGGGGGGGGCTGAAGCCCCCCCCCCCCCCCCCCCCCCCGGCTTCCTTCCTTCCTTCCTTCTATTCCTTCTTGCTCTCTCCCTCATCCTTCTCTCCCTCCCTTCTCTCTTCCCCCATTTCCTTCCTTCATGTCTTCCCTTCCTCCTCTCCTCCCTCATCCTTCCCCTCTTTCCTTCTCTCTTTCCTTGCCTCCCTCCCTTCTCTCCTTCCCTTCTATCATTCCTCCTTCCCTTTTTCCTCCCTCTTTAGCTCTCCCCTTGGGTGCCGCCATCATGGGGTTCCAGTAAGCCCCGCCCCTAATGAAGCAGAGTGTGCCGAGGAAGGAAGGAAGGAAGGAAGGAAGGAAGGAAGGAAGGAAGGAAGGAAGGAAGGAAGGAAGGAAGGAAGGGGAGAGCCCAGTTCCGCCTCCTCATTAATTGCAGCTGAGCTGGACATCCAAGCAGCCCCCAAGGTCAATTTCCACCAGAATTCACATTTGGCCATGTTGAGTATTCATCCCAAGTTTGGTCCCGATCCAGCTTTCTTTCCCAGTGCTATCCGGATGAACAATTTCTCCTCCCCCTCCTCATTCTCTCATCCACCCCAACTCCTCCTTCCTTCCCTCCCTCCTTTCCTTTCTCTACTTCCTTCTTCTTCCTTTAATTCTTTCCCTCCCTGCCTTCCCTCCTTCTTCTCCCTCCTTCTTCCCTTCCTTTTCCTCCTTCTCCTCCTCCTTCCTTTCTTTCCTCCTTTCCCTTCCTTCCCTTTCTTTCCTTCCTTTTTCCCCCCCCCCCCCCCCCAGCTTCATCCTTCTTTATTAAATCTACAGTCTAGATGCACCCAAAGTCCTTGCTTCCACACTGCCATGTAACATCCAGATTATCTACTTAGGACTAGATTATATGGCAGTGTAGACACACACACACACCACATACACATAGATATGGATGTATGCATAGGAAGATAGAGATATATATATATATATATATATATATATATATATATATATATATATATATATCTCCACACACACACACATATATATAGTTATACACACACATACATATATATAATTACAATACTTTTTATATTACTATTATATATACTGCTATATAATACATAAATATTATATATATTATTGTTATATGTATTACTATATAATATGTTACTACTATATATTACTATATTAAATAGACTTATAGAATAGAGTTAGAAGGGACTCTACCGTGTTATTGGGGGAGAACAGACAGGAAAGAAGGAAGGAGAGAAGGAAGGAAAGAAAGGTACCGAAGAAAGGAAGGAAGAAGATAAGTAGAAATGAAAGGAAAGGCAGGAAAGAGGTAAAGAAGGAAGGAGAAAAGGAAATAAAAAGTGAAAGAAGCAAGGAAACAGGGAAGGAAGAAATGAGACAAAGGAAGAAGTAGAGAAAGGGGGAGGGAAGAAATGAAAGAGAGAAGGAAGGAGAACGCAAAGAGTGAAAGAAGGAATGAAAGAAACAGGTAGAGAAGGAAGAAAGGAGAAAAAGGGGAAGGGAAAGAAAAAGGGGGGAAGGAATAGGTTGCTACCTCTCTTTCATAACAGTCCAGATATCTACCTCTACTTCGAAAATTCTTACTACAGGCCACAGCAACGCATGGCAGGGCACAGCTAGTGTATAAATATGTGAAGTCATAGGGAGGGGGGCAAACTTGTTTTCTGCTACCCTAGAGACTAGGACGGAACAATGGCTTCAAACTACAGGAAAGGAGATTCCACCTGAACATGAAGAAGAACTTCCTGACTGTGAGAGCTGTTCAGCAGTGGAACTCTCTGCCCTGGAGTGGGTGGAGGCACCTTCTTCGGAGGCTTTTAAGCAGAGGCTGGATGGCCATCTGTCAGGGGTGCTTTGAATGCAATTTTCTCGCATCTTGGCAGAGTGGGGTTGGACTGGATGGCCCACAAGGTCTCTTCCAACTCCATGATTCTATGATTCCTACCTCATTCTTTCACCCTCCAAAACAGAGGGAATGGAAAGGAAAGAAAGAAAGGAGAGGGAAGGAAGGTAGGTAGGTAGGTAGGTAGAAAAAGAGAGGGAAGGAAGAGAAGAAAGGGAGAAAAAAGGTTAGGAGAGAAAGGGATTCATAAAGCGTGAACCTGGGACTGTAAGTCTGAACCTACTGAGTGCCTTTAGGCAAGATGTCCCACTCTTTCAGCCTCAGAGAAGACAAAGGCTGAGAAAATGTGAGAGGGTCGGGTTGCTGTGAGTTTTCTGGGCTTTATTGCCATATTCCAGAAGCATGCTCTCCTGTCGTTTCGCCCACATCTATAGCGGGCATCCTCCAAGGTTGTGAGGTTTGTTAGAAACTATTTATTTATTTATTTACGGTATTTATATTCAGCTCTTCTCACCCCGCAGGGGACTCAGGGCGGATTACAATGTACACATGTATGGCAAACATTCAATGCCAAAGACACGACATAGACAGACTCTCAGAGGCTATTTAACTTTTCTGTCTGCCAGAGGAGCTGTCACTTTCATCGTCCATCTGGGACACTGATGAAGTACTTCCGCATTCCCTGCATGCTTTTGCTGGAATGCTTTGCTGGAGTCTTTTTATGGCCTCGTAAATTAGTTAAATTAGTTGTCGAAGGCTTTCATGGCCGGAATCACTGGGTTGTTGTAGGTTTTTTCGGGCTATATGGCCATGTTTTAGAGGCATTTTCTCCTGAGCTTCTAATACTCCCAATGTAATGCTGTTGGCAAAGCTTTTTGCTTGTGCCTACAGATCCCTCTCCTTCAATAGTTAAATTAGCTTCCCCACACATAGGTGGTACCTAATTTTCCTACTTGACAGATGCAACTGTCTTTCGGGTTGCAAAGGTCGACAACAAGCTACACAATTGGTTGGAAGCTCACTCCCACCCAGGCTGGCTTTGAACTCATGACCTTTTGGTCAGAAGTGATCTTAATGCAGCTGACATGCAGCCAGCTGTGCCACAATCCCGCCGCAATCCACAAAACTAGGCATCCTAGCTTCAGTGGAGACACTTCTCATCCTCAGAGACAGACAAGAGTTCTCTCTTCCACCCTGGACATTCCACAGATACATAAACCCCATCGTCCTAGTTTCCAACATACCTCACAACCTCTGAGGATGCCCCCCATAGCTGTGGGCAAAACCTCAGGAGAGAATGCTTCTGGAGCATAGCCATACATCCTGGAAAACTCACAGCAATCCATGATTCCATCCATGAAAGCCTTCAACAACACTGTGAGAAGGTTGCCTTAGGATCAACAACTTGAAGGTCCACAACAACAACAAACTATAGATTCTGCCCCACCCAGTGTTTAAAAAGTTTGAGGGCCTGTGCTCTAATACAAAGACAGCCTTTTGCCTGGTATGTATATCCTTCCTCTGGCACATCTATGATTTCAGTCATCTTGACGTTAAATGGGCAGATCTATTAGCCTCTA